GCAAACAAGTAAAGTAATGTGCAGAAAGTGATCAGATGTACAGAAAACATTATTTACGGACACTCAGCTACACCAGCCAAAGAGCACTTGGAGCCTAGCTTTGTAAGTTCTTGCTGTGGAAATCCCCAAGGTCTGAAAGTTGGCAATTTCGAGGATAGTTTTGGTACAAACAACCGTGTTTGGATACCAGTAATGTGCAACCCCCGAACGTTGCATCACACACACACCAATTACATCGTCAGTGACTGACCATTTTTTGAATTGCTGGAGCACAACTCGCAAGTTGAATGTTTAAGAAAGAGAACCCAACCACATTTTCCTCCTGACAGTTGGAGTTAGATAAAACATGGCGCCCAGAGAATGACAGAAGTGTATTGTAAATAGAGCCACTTATGATGTGAATCTGTTAAAATCATTTCGCATGATTACTGATTTTTTCCCAAGGAGGGGCACAAACGACAACACCTTGTTTTCAAATCTAGCATACTAGAAACATTGTTTTCAGTGCGGATTATCCAGTCGGATAATTAAAATGTATACTCATGATTGTATAATGATAAGCGGGGAAATGACCAAACAATACGGGACAATGCCATTCGGTGACGCCTGGCTGGCCGAGATTGGGACTCACACGTTGCAACAGATTGCAACTACAGGAAAGTACCCAAGACTTTTTCTCTGGAGAATTAGTGGTGGTAGCCGTGGAATATTTGCCAAAGAAAAGAGATTGCATCAACAGGTTTAAGTATCATATAAACTACTTGATGCAGGATGTATCGGCTGCTCATGATTGCGCTTCTGTTGTGTATAACATAGAAACAATCGGTTGTTCGCTAAAGAAGACTTGGCTAATAATAACCTATAAATGATGGTTGTAGTTGGTTGTTGGACCAATCCAGAGTGAACCTGAGACGGGTTTGGTATCGCGCCAGAGATGGGTGTGCTACAACAATATGTGTAAATTGACATTTAGACTTCTTTGGTCAGCAAGTCACTATATTAGGGAAAGTCACGTGTCATTTGACCTTGAACAGGTCGGCAATAAACGGTTTGTTGCTATACCCACGGCATAGCTTATAATCTGGTTAACGAGAGCACGTGCGATCCACAGCGAAATACGGCACTAAACGGCGAAGGTGACAGAAAGGGAAAAATGTTAGAAGTTTGTGAAATCAACAAGCTGTCTTCTGTTTACAGCCACTTTTTTCTCACTCCGTATCTGTATCACAGTAAAGCTGTCCGCATCCGTTTTGAATCTTGTTGTAATAATAAATGGACCAGATAAACAATCAAAGAGCGCAAATAAAACCGGAACAATGATATGCAAAATTATTGTTTGTTCAAACTGAAGCTGAATTGGACTGAATTACTCCACCGGGAGCAGCTGGTTTGAAAAGAAAAAACCATTTGACGATGCGACCCAAGTCCCAGTATAACCTGCATAAATAACCAGAAATTTAAAAGGAGAAAGTTGAACAAAAGAGGACACCAGTACTCAATGTGCTAAAGCACACTTACTAAGTAAGGAGCACCGTATATTGTACGATTAGGACCAAGAATCGCGAATTTAAATGGGTTTGTATGGATATCATGGAACGTTTTCTTTTCTATGAAGATTATTTTACCATGACTTGTTTGGTAAACAGTCTCGCCTCAGACATGTATGAAATATATATACGTATGTATATGGATACTTTAGTCAGTTACTTTAAGAACAGAAAGCTGGTCAAAATTACAGCATACCTCTGGAGGAATGGAAAAAGGCGCTTGAGCTTGGAAGGGCCATGCATTGGAACTGAGCACCATCATGTTGAAATCCACTAGAACAGGAGAGGAAAACAGATGATGAAAAGTATAGAGTAAACGGATTTCAACGAGACCAAAAGTTTCAGTAAAAACTGTCAAAGAGAAAAGCAGGTAAAAATCGGTGCACCTAATTGTGTAGCATCCAACTTGGAGCAGACTATTGCGGAGAGATAGGATGTGACGACAGTTCCGATATAATCATGTGTTATAGTAAGACAATGTGCTGGAGATCAGGTGCTACCCAAAGTAATAGAAGCAACGTGAAACCAGTCTTGTCACGTTCAAAATCCCA